TAATGTTTTTGCAACGTTTTAGACCTTTTAGGTTGTGTTGTAGTAATGCTGGGGACCTGCAGAGGCAGCGGACCTGAATTGTGCTGGTACTTAAAAAGTGTGGGTATGTGTTTCCAAGCAAATGTGGATTTTGGTCATTGCCTTTCCTGGATTTAAGCTGGATGAATGAAGAACTGGTAAATCCTCCCCTCCGCCCTCCCTCTTTCAGCACCCCCTCAAAAATAGTGAGATTCCGGTAAGATGAGAAATGGATATTTATATGACTTGTCTGAAACTGTTCTTGTTGACACCCATTTAATTACCTAAGTCTGCTTGAAAAGCTTTTTATTGTACTTTCAAAACCTGCCCTTTCAAATTTCTCAATTATTCAGGAAATTTTTTAGCAGCAAGGTAAAATGATGTTTGTGATTCATGGTATTTTTTAAATTACTGCGCCTTTGTTCTTTATATGTAAATTAAAAAAAAAAAAGTAAGAAGCATTAGACATTTGTGTGTTGTACCTCCTTTCTCAGAATGCAAAAGGAGATTTTTGGCCTATAAACTGTTCTTGGCTATTCCTCCAAGCCTGGTACCATTGCTAAGGAAAAGGCTATAAAACTTAATAATTTACAGGTAGTAAAAAAACCGCACAACACCAAACCCCAAAAAACTGTTCCTGGGAGTTTTCTTAATAATGTTCATGTTGACTCTGGTGTCCTGGCTAGATTCCAGCTTTATTAGATTATGAATTCTGTTTTAATCCGCTCAGTTTTCCATTGGAGATCTATTTTTGCCTGTCTTTTGTTAAATAATAATAGTTGTTTGCAGGGCGTGGTTGCATGTTTCTAGCCATCAAAATGATTTTCTTTTATAAAACTATATATTTGCATATTTCTGGTTTTAATCATCCTCCAGAACTTAAAGTAAATGGCACGCTTGTCTTGCCAGGGTCTGTTTGGTGTTCTTAAACACAGCAGATACACCAGATGAATTAATAGAAATCTGTTAGCTTTTCCACACTCTTAAATTCCAGACTTCCAATGTCTGTTCCTTGAGAAATGTGAAGTCCGTAGAAACAGAGGAGTTTGTGTAGTCACAGATAAGCTTGGAAGCTTAGTATTTAATAGTAAAGCTGCTAAATTAACTCTGTTTAATGTGTTTTGTTGCGATTTTCCTATGTTGTTTGTAGGGTAGAAATACATATCTAGAAATAATAGGTACAGGTATAAAAAAATGGGGTGAAAACATGGGAGAAGATTAGAGAAAACCACAACGAAAAAACTATATTTCATCTCCCTTCTAAAGGATGCTTTTGGGTTTGTTTGCTGCCTATCCCCCTTCCTCCCAGGCAAGGTCCTGCTGCCTAACCTGCCCCTTCTGTGCCCCCCGTCCCCCCAAATCACCCCCCTCCCAGCCTTGCTTTGCAAGGGCAGCAAAGTCAACAGGCGGTTGGGTTTCAGGAGTGGTAAACAGAATCTTTGTGAAGCTGTTGACTTTTCCTTGCCATATTTAACTGACCTCTGCTTGAAGTAAGTGGTTTTGCAGCCGGGGGGTGTATTTTGCCCTACCTCCCCTCCCGCAGCCCAGCTGGCGATGCCGGAGGTTGTCCCGGTGTGCTGGTGTTCGGTGGTGACTGCAGGATCTTAACTGGAAGCTGGAAAATGGAAGTAGTGCTGTTAACCAGCTGTTAACTGTGCTTCGAATGTGATGACCTAATATTTTCAGTTGTTCCTGGCCTCTTGCAAGTCGTTTTGTGTCTGTGTTACACTGATTCTGTTTGTTCTTTGCGTAGTTTGTTCTTGTCATTTCTTAATATTGTGCTGAATGGAGGGGTTACAATTATGTCTATAATTGGCTGAAATGTGCCTAAGGTTAGGCTTACATATGGTGGCACACACCGAATTGGGCAATCCATGATTAAATTTGCTCTTTTTCCTGTTGGTAGCTACACGTCCAAGGGGCAGAGCTGTATCCTGATATTAATTGAAGAGCCTGACCGTAACTCTCTCTTAGTTTAGAGGAACGTAGCTTCTTGTCTGTCTTCCTCTGTCTGTACTGCTCAATCTGTCAAGAGTTTTGAAATCTTTTGATTGGCTTTTGGCTCGTCTTTGCCTAATTAACAAGTCATTTCTTCCTTCTTCGCCGTTTGGCCGTGCTCCCGTGGCAATCACGGTTGCTTGTACACAAAAGCGATGTGTTGAAAACACGGCGTGTGTGTATTAGTGCTGTTTTACAGCTCAGGAAAGATCAAGCAGCGTGTGATGAAGTGCATCTCATCACTGAGGACCGTTGATCAAACAGCTCTTAGACTTTTGCTTGCAGTTGTTAGGACGAGTGCAAGTGAAGTTAATGGAGTAAGAAGAAGTGTTGGAGGCCATTTCGTTCTTCGTCTGAACTGACAACGTTAAAACCAACCGACCATCCTGCCTCTCCCAGCCCCAGAGCCTTCCTCCTTGCCTTTTTCCTTTCAGGTGGAGCCTGGTTAAGAGTAAATTCTTTAGCCATAATGTGCACAGTGCAGTTACTCATTGCTCACGTTTCTGTGGTGTTTTAACAGTTTGCAGTGATTATTTCTGTTGCAAAAATTTTTGGGTCAAGCCGAGGCTATTTACTGTCTTATAAACGTGCTAGAACTGGAGCTTGTGAAGAGAACTGGAATTAGGAAAGCTCCCGTAAGAATGTACCTTTTCATTTTCTGTCCTTAGAATGTATAATGCTTTAATTTGGCCAAGAGCAAGATGAAACCAAATACAGAAGTTAGAAATCCACTTCTCAAGATCGCATGTCACTATTTAGCAAAACTAAGGGTGCATTAATATCAGCCCGTAAAGAACAGAGGAAGAGAGTTGAATTTTGGGACCTCTTTCGGTGTTCTGCTCACAGTTATTTTGCTCCTCCCTTCCTTCCAACGCTTGCAAAACTCCACGTTACCTGCTTGATTCTGTCTTTAAATTGAGAATGCTGCAAACCCAAAACAAGCAAAAAACAGCTGAAAGGGGAAGAGATTGTTTAGGAAGTTTGGGGTTAGACTTTTTCTTGCGAGAGTTGCTGTTTAACTTCTTTGGATAATGGAGTTTTAAATGAAGGTAACTTTAGGGAAATGTTCAGCAGCCTTGTTCTTCAATTAAAGGTGTTGGAGTTCACAACAAATGTTCACAAAGACCTTCCAGAACTTCTCTGATAAAGCCAGAACTGCCAATTTCTAGGGTAAAGCAAGTAATACATGGGAGGAAGAGAAAACCATCTTTAACCGTGTAAAAATATGAAATAATACATTGAATTTATTCAGTTCTCTGATGTGCAGTGCATTATTTAACGTTGCTAATTCATCTTTTGTTGATTACGGTATATAATTCTGATCTTTCCATTTATAACTAAAAATAGTTGTAAAGTTATATTGAAGACCAAATACTATCACAGATTTTCAATGTTAATTGTCTACATTCTGTTTGTTTCCTGCAAATTCTTACATTGTGATGGCATGAGTGGTGGTCACCTGCAGCCTCTCATGTTTCTCATTTGATGAAATGTAGTTGAAAATGTATTAAAATGAAAATAGATGTTGGATACTGCAGGCATGAGTGTCTCACTAAACATTAACTTGAGGCTGTGTGCTGCACCCTAGCCCAGATGGTGCTTTTGGACGTTACAGTAGAATTTACTATTGTAAAAAAAAAAAAAAAAGAAATATATGCATATAAAAAAATAAGAAGTTCTTTGTATAGCTTAAGGCTTTTTAAAAGGTTTACTATTGCTAGTATTTTCACAAAAGTTGCTGTTCAGTATATATTACCTGCTCTTGCCCATCTAGCTTTAGAGCAACTGATAATGAACTGCGTGTGGTTGTTGCATAGAATGTAATAAAATGTCCTGATCTTGCAGCATTGTCATACAAGAAAGACGTAAATGTAATTTTGTGAGATTGCTGCTGTTAATATTTATACCAAGTCAATGTCTGTTCTATTGTTGGTTCTAACCTACCACATGCTGCTTTTAACAAAATACCTGAAGCATCACCCTGAAGTATTCACTCATCTATCACTCAAGGATGAGTCAGGAAGTGTATTATAGTAAAATAAAAAATGATAAATTTATTGAGTGTTTAATACACAATATAGTTATTCATAACCTTATAAAAGTATGAAGAATAATGAAATTGAGGGGCAGGCTTCTTATGACTTTTGCTTCAGTATGTGTGTTGATGAGCATGTTCAACAGTTCTCTGGGGAGATGCTTCTCTTGGGTTCTTTGTTTGTTTTTTTTTTATTATTATTTTTAAAGGCATTTTCATAGCCCTTGGGTATGGTTCTGCACAGCAGTGGTGCCTCTAGCCCTGGTGAAAGGATGTGTTTTAGATATAAGCACTATTTTGGAGATGCTTAACATTTCTTTGAGTTTTCAGCAGCTGCATTAATACTTAAATACTGCTTGGTTTGTTATAGAGCACTATGGCACAGAGCTGAAGGACTTGAAAACCAGATTTCATAATTATGCATCTCCTGAGTTGTTTGTGTATTATGTATTTGGTGTGTTTAACTCCCTAAAATATCTTATTGAACCATGAGAAGTTGCATGTGTTGTACTTCTGAGCATTCACGAGCTAATCTGTGATCTTGCGTGGTAAAGGAGATAAAAAAGTGATTGATGAGAATACCTAAGAATTTTTGGTTATTTAATATCAAAGAACATTTTGCATTACGTCACCATGACTGATAGAAAGTCTGAAACTGATTTGTTTCAACTTTGGTGTTATCTATATCACTTTTTAAAATGTATAATTTAAATGCATATAAAGTTTGTTTATTGTGTTTACAGGAGGGTTTAAATGGCAACTTTCTTGTTGGCTTTAAAATTCTTTAGACACAGATGTTCATCATACTGTAGACAGATGCTTGTCATACTGTTGGATTTGCTATGAAAATGTGTGTATCTATATGTAGGCACTTTAAAAACAGCAAATAGAGAATAATTGAAAGAATGATCTCCTCTCATTAAAGTGATGATCTCTCGTTTTCTTCTAGCATCAGATAATAGTCAGCGATTTCGAGAAACCTGCTTTGCGTTTGCACTGACACCGCAACAAGTGCAGCAAATCAGCAGTTCAATGTGAGTGAGTTCCATCAGTAATACAGTATTTTCATAAAAATAAATTAAAAAAGGAGCAGGCTTACCATATCTTTCATTTTGAAATGTAATCTTAAAGCTTTAACGCAGGTGTGCGCGTGGTGCCTCAGAAAATACTCTTCTGGGGAATTTTTTTCTCCTTTGTGTGTAAGCTGATGGAGGGGAAAAGGGCAAGGAAGAGAGAACTAAATACCAGCACTGTCCAGTGAGTACTGGGCAGGTTTCTCCTGTACAAATACCTAACTGTCCTTCCTGCAGCCCTTTCTCGCCATCAGTCAGATCCTTTGTCAAGTTCTATGTTTATTCACTGTAAAAATGGTGTTTCCTAGTGACCCATCACAATTTTCTTTATAGTATACAAAAAAAGAGGAAGTGGTAGAGATCAGATGAGAACGTAATTGATTTGTTTACTTGCAAAATAAAAAGTGTATCTTTTAGTGTGTCTTGAGAGTGGTGGTTTGACTGACCAGAAGAAGGGGAAGTGTGATAGAAACTATAAATACCAGGAAGTGTGGTTTACATACATTGAACTTACAGCAAACTCGGAGAAAATATTGATGAACCTGTTGTGTAAACAATATGTTTTCATTTATATTCTGTTTCTAGGGATATTTCTGGGACCAAATGTGACTTCACAGTACAGGTCCAGCTAAGGTATGTGTTTGTATTGCCTCCTCCTGCTGCTGCTGTTGTTTAAAATGTCTCAGATCTATGCTCCCCAGCAAGTCAAGCTTTCCTTTGTGGAGAAGAGTCTCCGGTCATTTCCTTGGAAAAGATTTGCCGTTGGCTGCTTTGGAAAGGGCAGACTTAACTCCTTGTCCTTGTTCTGTGCAGCTTTCCTGAAGCTGCTGGTGGCAGATACCTGGTCGGAATGCTGCGTGTACTTAGCTGTGGCCAGCTCGTTTTCTCCAGTCCGTTATTTCGGATTGTGCCTATGCTCCTTTCTTTAACTCCATGTCTGTCAGATTCCAGGTGCCTGGGCCTTCCAAGTCTGCATGCAGGGAGGTGATTTTTCCTAGCAGAGATGTCAGACGCAGTATTGCTGGGCATGGCAACTCAAAGTTTATTTTTCTTGAGGCAATGGGAGGCAAGATTTTGGGAATGACCAGATGGGGTCTTAACCTGTAGGTTATTTTAGAGGTTTTGACAAACATATCATAAGTTGATTAAAACCTGTGTGTCCCTGTAATTCTGCAGAAGGCTGTGGGTAGCGCTGACTTCAGGGCTTGCTCCTGTCAAAAACAACTTCTTGCCTTCCATCCCCTGGTTGTGTCTGCATGGCTGTTAACTCGCCAGACGGAAAGCGATCGCTTCTGGATCTGACTTGTTAGGATACTTGCACTGATCAGCACGTCGGGTTGGCTTGGAGTAGGGTCAGACGGGCAAAGGGACGAGGAGAGCAGGAGCAAAAACAAGGAGAGAAGGTGGCTCCCCCTCTTTGAGAGCAGCAGCCTCTTCAGGGCTCAGCTGCGTTGAGTAGCCATACCCTGATGGGCTAGTACGTTTGGGTGGATGGAGCAGGTCCTTGGAAGAAGGCCAGTGGAATTGAGAGGCTCTTTTTGGTCCTTTGAATGCCTATTGTCCACGATCTCAGCCTGCACATTTCGTAGGACAAGGAAGGGTGTGTCTTATTTTGGTTGCAGCAGCAAATAAGCCTGTCTGAACTTAAGTAAATAAATAAAACTGTTTGAACTTAAGTAAGAGGCTTGACATAGGCATGAGGATAGCGTTTGATGCGGTGACTAAACAGCTGGCTGGTTTATTGAAGTTGGAGGAGGGACAGTTGAAGAAACTATATTTTTGTCCTTTGTGAAAGCCTGGTCTTGTATCAAGAAGTCAGGCTGGGGAAATGGTAGGAAAGAAATTGGAAAGATCTGTTTTTTCTAGCAGGAACCTGTATATCTGAATCAGTCAGTCTGAGGAGTTCAAGAAATCTGAGGAGGAACCTACAGCCATCTTGATCCAAACCTGTAATTTGGGGGGGCTTTCCTGCTTAATGATCTGTACGGCTAATTTGTGTGTTTAGCAAGATTTGTCACGCTTTCATAACTCAGTGGAAAAAAAAAATCTTTCTAGGAAGGAGGTGATCTTTAAATCACTTTAGAAGTGAAAGATGATGGAAGCTCTTTGCTTTTAGGTTTTGTTTATCAGAAACCAGTTGTCCACAAGAAGATCACTTCCCACCCAATCTGTGCGTGAAAGTAAACGGGAAACCATGCAGCCTTCCAGTAAGTAAGATGTTATTTTGATACACATAATTGGATAGTGTTATTAGGAACTGTCTGTCAGAAATGAGCCTGAGAACATATCCTAACCTTTGTTTTGGAGCATTTGAATGAAGATGGATAGATGAATGGAAAAGACAGTTAAGTAAATTGTTTCTCAGGAGACCAGCCAGTAGGTCCGGAATGTTAATTGTCAAAAAACATGACAGTAAATTTGTGTGTTTGACAAACATCCAGTGAGTCTGACTGAAATGAGATGCTGTTTTGAAGGTGGTCTGTGCAGGGCATAGACCATCACTGACCAAGAGGACTACAGAGAAAAATGCCAATTTACAGTACTGGGCAGCATGCAGGATTAGACTGGGCAGTGTTAGCCAGGCGGGTTGATAGCAGTCCTGAGAAAGGAGGGATGGCAAAGGTGCCTTTTAATATTCCGGTGGACAGGGCCAGGATTTGGAAAGCGTGAGGCTCTGTGTAAGGAGAAAGGGCTTGTAAAACACCTGCTACTTTCTCGTCTGATATAGATGTCTGTCTAAGAGGGAGCCTGGTTCCGGTGAAACACGGCTTTTATTGTGGCAGGGTCGTGATGAGAGGGGAGGAAGGCAAAAGCAGTGGGTTTTATATTTATTTTTTTTTTTGCTGAGGGGAAAAAATACTTTGATTTCTAGGGCTATCTTCCCCCAACCAAAAACGGTGTTGAACCAAAGCGACCCAGCCGACCAATCAACATTACCTCACTCGTCAGGTTGTCTACGACGGTACCAAACACAATCGTTGTTTCGTGGACTGCGGAGATCGGAAGGGTAAGTCACTTGGATACGTAGTGCTGTCTAAAGCTTATTAGTTTCTGCTTTGGCAATCTGTTGGGAAGGTTTGAAAGATAAGCAAGTGTAATTGTGCAGAAAATACTTGATGGTTTAGCAGTGGACTGTTCCATCTTGTGATTGCATTGCTTTGTGCTAGGCAGGTTTGACATGCTCCTTAGATCGATAGCCCTCCAATTTTTTGGTGTGATCTTTCCCTCCTCATCCCCCACCCACCCATCTTTGTGACTCACTGAGGGTCCAAATAATAAGATCAAGATGTCTTAAAAGCTTCTTTTGTTTGTTTGTCTTAACCTCAGACTTCAAGCTCTTCCTGATTATGGGGACTTGACAAACCTCATCTTGGCTTCAGCTTGTAGCTAGCACGTGACGTTCGGTACAGAGTGGTCTTTTATAGCTGAGTAAATGTGGACACAAAGCGTAGCAACTGAGCAGGGCCAGGGGATTTAATTTGCTTTTTTTACATTTCTCACAACTGCTATCCTTAATATTTAAAAAAATCATGTTTTTAAAACTTTTCTGTGTCTGTGGTGAGAATGTTACAGTTGATATTATAAAATTGCTGATGTTCCACTAGACGGACTAAATCTGGACCATGATGCAAAAAGTTACTTCAATAAATTAGTCGTGAATTAGCACACTGCTTTCACTGATGGCAAAAAAACTGCTAGATATACGTTATGGAGTCAACACGTGCTTGAAAAACAGCGGCTTTGTCATTACAACCATCCTGGTTTTAGGAGCCCCGAGAATTGTCCTGAGATGAAACCTTGTCCAAGAATTTGTCGGTATGCAAAGCCCAGGATTCCTGAACCAGCGTGGAAAAATGCTTACAGCCCAGTGATGCACAATAGCCAGTTATAAAACATCATGATGGTATTTCATGATTAATTTCTTGCAGAGCATAAAACAGTCTCCATTCAGCTTATAAAATAAATTATGATTGAATGATTTTTTTTTTTTAAAAACCCTTCTTTTATCTAATGAGAACTGCAGGTATCAGAAATAAGAATTTAAAAATGAACCTGTTTTGGTTTACATTGCAGAAGTGTCGGCACGCAAGTTGATTAATCCTGGTTATTGCTCTGAATGTAGTGCTGCACTTTTATTTAAGAATACCAGTGAAGATTTAGGGAAAAGTCACAAGTCTGTGTGGACTCTAAGCTAGTCTTCTGTGAACTAGCTAGTTGCTCAGAATTCATAGATATTTCCATAAAACCCATGCGGCTAACTTGTAGCTTACAGTAGAAAACTGAAGAGAGTGGCAAATCTTAGTGTATTTAGTGAGAATTAGATGCCAGTCAGACCTTCCCCACTCACGAGACGTAATGCTTCCTAATGTGATTGTTTGAGACCTTGACAATGGAATGTGAGGAATTTTTTTTTTAATTGGGATGTGCCTGTATAGTACAAAACTGGAATTGCCCTCCTCCCCTTCCCTCAAGAGCCAGTTGTGTGTCTCAACTGGTGTACTCTACCTTTCCTGAAGTCATGACTGTGATTTTTACACAATGTGTTTCAAGAGCCTTCTGTACAAGATGCCTTGGGCAAGTTCCTGGCTTTGTAGATTCAAGCTGTCGGTAAATAATTTCACAATGTTAATTACCATTTTTCTAACTTCTGTACTAATTGAGGCATTAAACAAACAAGTTAAAGCAGTAGTGGTTTTTAACGATGTGAGAAGCATTCATTGTAAGAATAAAATATTTTAAATGTGGTGTTTCTGATGCTGTTTCAGTTTTTGCGATTTTATGGTAAGATATATCACTGAAATCACGCCTTTGGATTCTAGTGGCATCCTGAATAATGGTAGATGTCACAGTTGTATGGATTTTTTTGTTTGTTTTGTTAGTGGAAACGTACATAGCAGTTGCTGGGGGAAGACTGTAATTTTCAATTTGAAGTATATGAGTGAAGCTACAGGTTTGGCCAATACTGTTTATATCAAAAAGGAATTGATGTACCCTAATGTGAGAAAACAAATTTTGCCCGTTTCATTTTGGGAGGTCGAAGGAAGAGAGGGATGTTGCTGATGAATGCATAGTACAGTATCACATTTTTAGAAAGGCAGTTACTACCTGCTGTTAGTAGCTTACAAGAAAAAGGAGAGCTTGAGAATTCCCAGCCTGTGGTTTGAAATCAGTTGGCGATGCCAGGGAGAGCACTCTGCCACTCCTGCTCACCCCTCGAGGGAGGGCTTACCCCGCTTACAGGGGAGCTGGCAGAGCTGGTGCTCGGGCTGCATCTGACCACCTTCTATGCCAGGTGATGTTCCATAGTGGCAGAAGTCAACGTACATGGCTTCTTGCTGACACCACTAAGGAACATTTGCATGGTCTGGGCTGTTGAGATTGATGGGGGGGAGTGACCAAACCTCTTCCAGAGGGGAAGGACAGGCAGTTGGGAGGGGTGACTCGTTACCTGCTCCACCTAGATTCACTGGAGTACACCTTGGCCCTGCTGAACTCATGAACTCTTTAACTGCCTTGCTTTTGTTAAGCTTCGGTAGCCAAGTTAGTGTTTTGTAGGCAGTAACTGCAGGAAGATAAGCAAAAGAAAGTTGACCAGTGCTTCCAGACTGAGTAGGGAATACTGCAGATGATGCATCTTGTGTATTGCTTTCAAAGAGGCATCACTGCTGCTTTTCCTGTTTTGAAAACAAAATAAGCTTTTATTAAAAAAAAGTTTTGATTGTATTTGACCTGACAGCTTCCCTTAAAAGTATTGACAAAACTGCAGTACCTGACGTTATTGGTGTAGAATTGCCCTTCTTAAATGGGCTGTAGGTGGCACGTCCCAAGTTAGATGTAAAACTTCCAGAAGTGTCCTAAACACTGGTTTAATAGCTTGGTTTGCAGCTAAATCTAATCCCAGTGAGGCGTGAAGTCCCTTTTGTTGCACCTCCCAAACTCCAGCCCTGCAGACTTTCCGAAGCAGAAGGGGTTTTCTCTAGTCTGCAAACTTTGCCATCTCGAGTCTTGTAACCGCTTTAGAAACACAGTGCCCTGTAACCACGTAACAAATTGTGTAAGTGATGCATAAAATGCAAGCTGCCTTTTGATTAGAACAGTTTTTACTTTGCTCTTTTGTTCTGTTTTCTAGAACTATTCCATGGCAGTCTATCTTGTAAAGCAGCTGTCCTCCACGGTGTTGCTGCAGAGGTTGCGAGCAAAAGGGATACGGAACCCGGATCACTCTAGAGCACTGAGTATGTCTGCTGTACTACTTGTTTGAAAAGGAAAAAGAGCTTTGGTAAAAGGAGGCTTGAAATAGGGCTGTACTCACTGAGGTTTGGACTTCCTACAATTCTCTGGGTTTTGAGAATCTGATAGTGGTGTTCTTTGTATTCGGTTCCAATTCAAAGACTCAGAGGCCTTTGTTTGTACTAGGAGCCAGTCCAGGAACCCTGTTGACACTGTGAAGGGAAAAATGCAAGAGAATCTCTTTCAGCTCAGCCATACTGGCTTTGTTTCTTCAGAACAGCACAACTGTATTTCTGTAGTTAGCTGGTAATTCAGTACCTCAAGCAAGCTGAACTAAATGCCTGATACTGGACTTTGATGCTGACATGCTAGAGGAGAGTCTCCATCAACGTAGTTTTTGTTCCTTTGTCACGATATTGTGGATTGAGCTCCTGGAGAGAGAGTGTCTGGCACAATACTCCTCCCAACCCCCTTCCAAATTTAAGCGTGAGGTTTGCTGCTTTATTGTTTTCTCTGACAAGTACGTGTTGGTACAAGTTTGTATAACAAAAATGCAAGCAAAAACTGCTGCATGTTTCTTTTTCAGGGAGAGGGTGAAAATACCAACACCTGACAGCTGTTGGTCGTACTCTTTAATGCTCAGATAACATGTGTTGCACACAGCGCAGGACCTTCTCCTAAAGGGAAGAAATTACTCCACCAGTAAATGCTACAAAGCCAGTGGTGTCTAATGCTGGGCATTAGCTTGTGCTAATGCAATGTGATGATTTATGTGCTCAAAAATCTAGAGAGTTTCCAGGTGGCTACTGCTCTGTGTAGGCAAGATGAGAATGAGGGTGTAGGTCCACTTCACAGAGCAGGAAAAACATGGAACTGACTTATTTGTTGAACTGGTGACTGCTTATAAAACAGTCGGTGTCAGTAAAAGTAGAGATGACAGACTTCTGCAGTGCTAATATTTCACTGCAGTGACTTAAAACACAGGTTTTGTCAGGCTAATTCTGATTTCCTGTTTCTCAATTTGCTTTTCCATTTTAAATCACAGGATTGCTTGATGAGTGTTTCAGAGGTTTACAGTGGTGCTTGTCCGTGTGAGAGTCACTAACACCTTTTTTTGATGTGCTTGAAGTGAACAGTCAAGTCAATGTGGCTCATCTTGTCGGTAGATTTTAAATAACTGTCAAGTACAAAGTTGCATGTATATGAGAAGAGATATCGCTGTATAATTTTCTAGGGGTCTTGGTTTAAGATGAACTCTTCCTACTTTTTGTTTTCTTAAATCTTGTCATCTATGATCTTTCTAGAGAGTAAAGACTGCTTATGTTACATGTTTGTTGTGAGAGTCTGAAACAAGTGAGTCTACTGTTTGCTTCCAGTAGATACGGCAAATGGAAAGTTTAGCACACAGTTTCAGACTTGTTGTATTTCTTTATCTTCCAATTTGTGTTTTAAATCAACTGTAAAATAAACCTTTTCTTCTTTCAAATAACAGTTAAAGAGAAACTGACTGCTGATCCAGACAGTGAAATAGCAACAACAAGCTTAAGAGTTTCTCTCCTCTGTCCGGTAAGTTGGTTTTTTTTTTTTACTTCCTCAAAACTGATTCTGATCAAAAAGTGGCTGTTCTGGGACCTGCATTTGGTAGAGATTAGCGTGTGTTTGCCTGTGTGTTAACTTTGTGGGGTAGGATCCAGTGCTGAAGTTATCTGTCCCTGTGCTTAAGCATGTGATATACCCCTGAGAAAATGAGTATTCCATTAACTTGAAAACACTGTTTGAAATGACAGGTAAGCACACATTTAAATCTGTCACTACATCGTGTGGGTGTGCAGTTTGAGTCCTTGATTGTAATAAAACCACTCCCAGTGGTAAGGTAGGTAAATCTGAGTATTAAAAATAGCTCTTCGGCCAGTGTCTGCAGTCAAAGAATTGAGCATCTTTTAACTGAAGGTGATTATATACATGTTTGGACTTTGAGTATTTAATAATCTTAGATTAAAAACAAAACAATGTCCTAGAGGCTGTTCGACAGAATTAGTTCCAAACCTGAAGTAGGAGAATACAGTTCCAGTGAATGTGGAAGTGGCAGAGACATACTGTATCTTGGCCTGATAATTGATTATTGACCAAGTAGATGCAGAGGTGAGCGGTAGTTTATACCTGGCTTTATGTTATCATTGGTAAAATGCTCAATATTAATATTATGTGGACTTTTTTTCATCTTTGAGACCTCTTTTAAACCTCTTTTCAAGATTAAGGATATATCTGTTTCCTGGTTTGGCTCAGTCTGCTCGAGCTTGACATGAAGTTTTCAGTTTTGAAATCTAAAGAAGAAAACTGACTTTATTCTTGCAAAATTGAAGCTTATTTCTCAAGTTATTGAATATGTTCTTAAACTCTACCAGTGTGAAGACAGACTTCTAGATGCATAATCTTTGCTTCATAAAAAGCACAATTGACATTGTGGTTACTTTTTGTGTATGCATTAGGTTATTGTAAATCTTTAAATGTGGTGTTATTTCTGATTTTTCAATCTTCAGACCTCCATATCAACACTGATGCTAACTAAATAATAGCACATTTATAAGGAAGGTAAACTCATCTGTAAGAAAGATACAGGGACTGCATTTACAAAATAAAATCCTGATCTGTAATCTTAGTACTTCCTAACCTACAGTCTTACAGACCTATGGACTTTTGTGTCACATCGAAACTGCTGCAGAGTTGGAACGCTGAAGTATTTTGGGTCCACAGCTGGCACCTTATTTTGCTGAGTTGTCACAGTTGAATGTTTGTTGTGCTGTTAGTACTTTGTTATTCTAGAAAGCACAACTTGGTTTTGGTAACTTTTTTAGGCACAATATTCTTGCTGCTTAAGATTAGTTTCCAATACAGACCAAAATTGTAATCCGTTAGTAGAAATTAACTCTAAGAGTTTAGATGTGCCTGTGTATTAATTAATTATCTTAAATTAATCTTCATGCATCTTCTGGAATTACAGATTTTTACTTCAGTCTTACTTAATTTGACAAAACTGCCTCTTCAGGCAGTTGTATTGCTTTATAGATCATTCTGTAGGAGTTTTCTGACACACTTCTGCGTGTCCTGGTTGCCCCCATTACTGGTAACAGTTCTTCTGCAGTGCTTTTAGATACCTTTTTTTTTTTCTTGATGACTGTTATTCAGACGAGTTAGTATTAGAGCAGGAGTATCCTCTACAATACTGCTTTTAGGACTGTAAGTTTGCTAATACCTAAAGATGTCAAATTCTGTTTTGCTTTCTCAGAGTTCTGCCAGGGGTCAAACAAAACAGCCATCAGACATTAGGATGTAGCTCTTCAGAAATCCTCTCTTCGTCGGTGTTTCCTCTTTAATTTTATTGCTTTTCTGATAGACATACAAAACAAAGTCTATAGCAGATTATTTTGAGCATATTTGTCTCTATGTCATTTTAATAATGTCTACAAAACATCCACACTTGACTTTTTTCCCTGTGTGTTCCTTGTTCAGTGCTATTTGATTTTGCTGTAGCTTTTGGAATAATCCATCACTGCAAAGGCTCGTTAGGACAGAGACTGCACCCTTCAACCTGCCCTACGAGTAAAGGTTATTAGCATGATTCAGACTCCTCGGGCCTGAATGTAATTTTATTATAGCCTCCATATTTTTACTTGCTAATTGGTAAGCATTTGGCTCAGGGAGAATCTTTTTTGTAAATATTTTGTGCTTACTTTTTAACGCTCGAATGGAGAGTGTGTGCTTTGAAAGTACCCGTTGGAAATGCCGAGTTGGTCTCCAACAGCAGAACCAAAATTAGAGTGATGCATCTTCAGCTCTGTAAATGCGAGGGTGCTTTCTCCCACCTCGTTTGCTCTAGGTGTGATTCCCTCGTGTGTACATTTCAGTAAAATAAATGGAATTGTGTATCTGCACGGGGGTGGCAGGTTGAGGCTTTATAACCTTTGATTTTGCCCTCAAAAAAAAGTGCGGCGTGAAGCAGCTTCCTCTGAATTTGTTTTGGATTGCTGCTGAGCTTTTTTTAGCACAGAGGCCTGCTTTCCCTTCGAGCCCGTGGAGAACAGAGGAAAAACTGTCCTTAACTATTGGCTGAACCTCTCCAAGATACAGCAGGCAAATGGGCTGCACCGAGTCTGCGTTTCAGGAAGACTCTTGAATTCATGTTCTTTTTTTCACTCAAAATAAAAATAAATAAATTCACAGGCTCTGCAGCCGGACCAAATATTTAACTGCACGAAAATTCCAAATCTAGCATTTGACTGTAGGTTTTGCAGCTTTGTTTACACATCTTTAACTCCTGTTTTGGGCGCGTTTTTAGCATGAAAAGATAGCGATGTTTTGTACGCTGGTAAAAGAAATTACTGCAATGTTTCTCTGACTGCCGACAGGCAGGGATCGAAACAGTAACAGTGTTGGGAAACAGAGTTTTTCCAAAGTTGGGATGCATCCCTTCTTTTACGACCTTTTCTTTTGTCGGTTCTGACACAGCTCGGCCAGTGTGGCAGAGCTGATCCGGGAGGTTCAATGCCAAAAATGGGAAAGGAGACATCAGCTCGTTAACGCTGAGTGTGCCGATTCCATCTGCGTGCGTGTGGCTTTGGTTAAACCCCACCGCTGCTTGGAAATCGGAGGCACAGCTTTTATACCAAGAGCTTGTGAAAATCGTTCTGGTTTAAATCTTTTTTACTTGGGAGACAAATATTTCTGTTCTTCCTGCGGCACATGTCTTTGACCTGCCTTGTTTTTATTTTCCATCGCATAGGAGCGTCCAGGTTTTATCTCCAGTACCCTTACTCTTGATCCTCGCTGAACTGGGAGACTCTTCCTGTGCCCAAAAGACAAATGAGCCATTGACCTACCATCTGGGAGATAAGAATTCCTAACAGACATGGATCAGGGGGCCTTGCTTTGTTGGGGGTTGATTACACGATAGAAATAATGTGCTTGGTCATGGATTTTTGGGGGAGGGGGTGCCAAACACATGGCCCATACAGCATCTCCTGCTGCCTGAGCTGCCCACCACCATTACTGCAGACTCCCCAGGGAGTTCTCCGCTCCCCTCCCATCTGGTGGTGAGTTTTATGGCAGTGACTGAGAGCCAGAGGGAAGAAAAAGAAGCAAGATCCTGCAGTCTAGCTGAGTTTGCTGGGAATGGGGTGGAGGGATTTCTGCTAGCGGGGGATTAAAAAAAAAAAAAAAGCATCATGGAGGAAGTAGTGGACTGTGAGTAGAGCCTTTGTTCTTGCTATTTAGTTTTCTGATATTCTGAGGTTGAGTGCCATCCTGTGGCACCCGTCTTGTATTGCGCAGAGTCGCTCTGCGTGCCCACGTTTGAGCTGCGCTCAAACCAGTTCCTCCTCCCACCCTCTGCTGGAACTGGCTGGAGGTTTTCAGATCAAGTCATTGTGTATGTTTTAGTCAAATATATGTAGCTTCAAAATACTCAATATAAATAGTTCTTAATTAATAATTGTTTTGGTGGGTTTTTTAATGTGGTGTTTAGACATTCTTCTTTTTACCTTTAGTGTGGTCATTTAAAGCCCCTCCCTAAACTGCAGCATCAGCACTTTGCCAGAAAACAACTAGTTGGTTTTTTTGAGGAGAAGAGACCTTTTTATTTCAGATTAATATGAAGTGTCTTACTGCCTAAACAATTTTGCATTCAATGCAGTCATATGTTACTGGCTTATGGTCTGGGTTAGTGTTGATCTGTCTATCCAAGTCAAGATGGATATGCAGTGATAGGACAAGGGGTAATGGCTTTAATCAAAAGAGGGGAGATTTAGATTAGATCTAAGGAAGAAATTCTTCCCTCTGAGGGTGGTGAGGCACTGGACCAGGTTGCCCAGAGAAGCTGTGGCTGCCCCATCCCTGGAAGTGTTCCAGGCCAGGTTGGATGAGGCTTTGAGCAACCTGGTGTAGTGGAGGGTGTCCCTGCCCATGGCAGGGGGGTTGGAACTGGATGGTCTTTGAGGTCGCTTCCAACCCAAACCATTCCATGATTCTGTATTCCACAGTTTAGCCTTAACACTCACTGTATGTAGCACTCCTGTGTTATCTCAGCTCTGCTTTTTCTGTTAAACTTGTGGAAGCTTTGTGCTAGCCTGCAAAACCTCTCTGTCCTAGCCTTTCTGCAAACTTGAAGGAAAGGATGGTCCTCATCTGAAAGTGTACTTTAAAACTCATTTTCTCCTGTTTCATTATCCGTTAACATTTACAGGCCCTTTGTAATGTTGAAAAGATGTGATGGTGTTAGAGGGGATAGTCAAGTATTTGTATTTTACGTGAGAAAAAGGCAGTGGCCTTTCAGGTTAGCTCACAACTGTGTACATAGTAGTGGTGTTTATCACAGCAGGAGGAGTATAAAATAGTTTCTCGATAGTTAACAGGTGTGACTTATGTTGTGAGTAGTCACCTTCTGACAGGCCTTTGGAGAAAGCAGTGACAATGATGGAGTTAGAGAACTCGTCAGGAAACGAGCCGTAATCCTGCAGGTGCGTGTCTGTACGCTTGCTACAGTGGCTGTAGAGCTGAGCAAGTAGTTCTAGTAGT